TTTTAAACCCCCCCCCCCCCCCATTCTGGGAATTTTCCATCTTTTACTCTTCATGGGGTACGCTTCCCCAACCAGAGTTGGTGTGCAATTTGGGGATCTGTCTGCACTCTCAACTGCTACTCAGAGCAGATGGCAGCAGTGACCAGGGAGGCTTTTGCACAGCTTCATCTTGTTCATCAATTGCATGCATTCCTGGACCAGGAGGCTTTGTTCGTAGTGACTCATACTTTAGTCACCTCCTGTTCGGATTACTGTAACACACAGTAATCGTTAGAAGAACATATGAAGAACATTTGGAAGCTGCAGCTGGTCCAGAATGCAGTGCTATGGGCAGCTTTTGGCATTTCTTGTTGCACCCATGTAACACTGCTTCCCTGCGAGCTGTGCTGGTTCCTAGTAGGCTTCTGGGTGCAATTCAAGGTAGTGATCATCACCTATAAAGCCCTCCTTGGCATAGAGCCAGACTACTTACAGGACTGCATTTCTCTTATTGTTTCTGCCTGCCCCATCCAGATCTAGTACAGAGGACAAGGTCTGAGTCCCATCTATTGAAGAGTGTTATTTTGTTGGACCCCAGAGTCATGCCTTCTTGGTGGCAGCATCTGCCCTATGAAACAGCATCCCCCTGGAGATTCAGATGGCCCTAACCCTGTTAGCAAGGGTTAATGCCTTAGCAAGGCGTTGAAGACCTGGCTGTTTCCCCAGCCATGTGGGTCAGGGGGTAGGTGAGCTCTGCTGCTATTGATGGTGAGTGGGGTTAACAGCTTATCCTTGGGCACAGGGGGGTTATGTTTGGAGGGTTTCTTTGCTTGGAAGTACTGTAGTACAAAAGGAACCTGGTCAAAATCTCTTTTCCTTCCACTTCCATAAGTAGCTTGCTTTCTTTAGCTGAAACATCAGCTGTTCCATTCATTGCTGAACCTAAGTCGATCAAAATTAACAAGGTTACAGTTAGATTTGAATAAGTGAGTACTTATATTTGAAAGCAAATTGAGTACACAAAAGTAATTTAATTAAAAGTTCTTAATGCTATTCTTAGTAGTGCATTAAAATATTACTATAACTCATTAAGAGATTTTTTTTTCCTTTGTGCCTTTAAGTCAGTGTTGACACCTGGCAACTGCCTGGAGAAGTCCCTGCAGCTTTCTTGGCAAGATTTTTCAGAAGTGGATTGCCCTTGCCTCTTTCCTAGGGCTGAGAGAGAGTGACTGGCCCAAGGTCACCCAGCTGGCTTTGTGCCTAAGGCTGGATTAGAACTCTCAGTCTCCTGGTTGCTAGCCTGGTGCCTTAGCCACTACACCAAACTAGCTCCCATCATTGAGGGAATAATTGACAGAAATTATTTTTCTTAACTTAAAGTTTAAAAAGTAATTCTAGTTTATATTTCTTGGTATGAATATTAACTAATATTTCTGCTGAAAGGATGATGCAGCTATCGAAAGAAATAAATCGTTTGCCAAACTGTTGTAAAGAAATGCTACAGAGAGCCATCAAAGCTGAAATGCAGCTTTTAAAACTTCGTTATCAGATGTTTCATCAGCACTGCTGGCAGACTTGCAGATTTTTTATGAAAGGAAAGGAAAATATAAGCAGGTTTGTAAGAAATGACACTTGAAATAAATAGCTTATATGTAGAAGGCGCAATATTTGGTTATAAGAGTGCAGTTCTGTACGTATTTAAGTCCCATTGTATTACTCTAGAAAGGAGATATAGGATTACAGCATTGGTTTTGTAACTTTCTCAGGTTGTGGGTTAAGGCACCTGAGAAATGTGTCCAGTTACCACCATTTTTTCTTCTCTAAAGGGGTGCATATGCTTATCTTTCTGCCTCCCTCTACTTCTTTATGTTTTTTCACCATATCACCTATATAGCTTTTTCCCATTCTTGTTTCCTTCTCCATGTCTCTGCAGGTTTTATATCCTCACCCTGCAGCCTCCTGTTGTTGGTATTATTCCTTTAAATATATGTCTGGGTTCCAGAAGCAATGTGAGAAAATGAAAGTGGTCATGGCCAGAAGCCAGAACTTTCTCTGTTGTTATTTCAATCATCCCTCAGTTTTTCCTAATGTTCCATTCAGATGTGCCTTCCAGGAAGCTAAGGCAGTTATATGGCATGACAGAGAATAGGTTGTATGATGTCCTTTCAGGTACTTGAAGGATACTATCAGGACCCCCTTCAGTCTCCTGTTCCAAGATTAAACATAGCTAATTCTCAGCCTCTCCCACAGAACTTAATTTCCAGCTTTGACTGTTCTTGCTGCTTTTTTGAATCTGTACCAATTTATGTGAGTACTTCTTAAAAGTCTCTGCCCAAAATTGGATGCATTACTTCAAGTAATGTGACCAAAGCAGTATAAAATGGACTATAGCTTCCTATGATTTGAAAATTACGCTACTTTTCATCAAGCTAAACTTGCATATTTATGCAATCACTTCATATTGCTGCCACACATTGATTTTTTAATCAGTTACTATTCCAAGTAACTTTTTCACAGGTAGTATAACCAAACCATGTATTCCTGAACCCATGTCCAAGTGGTTTTGAAAATTAATTTAAGGGAAGATGAGTAAGAAAACTATGGCTGGAAAGTATTTTGCATACCTATGGAAATACTGCATTTACTTAAAATACTGTCTTAATTTTTAGTTCTCCACTTGGAACTGGAAAATCGGTGTCAGAAATATTATTGTCACAAGATAGTGAAGTACCTTCTCTGCACTTAGTAAGTTGGGGTTTGGATTTTTTGCATATTTATTTCATTACCTTTGAGCTGTTTGGGGTCTTTTGAAGTGAGGTATTTTGAAAGCAAATTTTAAAATACAAATCTTACTTGATTGCATACCTCGAAGCATATATATTGTATAATGTGTACTGTTATATCTTGAAAATAAATATAAAGTTCACTAACACGTACTAATTCATTTCTTGTTTCAAACTTTTCAGTGTCCAAAGTAATATTCAAGTGTTGAAATTTAAATAACAAAAGCAATTCAAATTTCTGTTATGACAATTCTGAGGAAAATTCTCAGGAGAATAAATGTAAGCCAAATAATTTTTCTAAAACTGATCTTTGCAAAGAAACACAGAGCAGGAAATTTCCCTAAATATAAAAAAGTAATCACAGTGCCATAGAAAACAAAATTCAACATGATTTTTTAATAGATTACAGCTCAAAAGAATAAAAACAGCGACCCTCAGCAGTGCCTTTCCAAGAAGAATTTGGAGGAGAGAAAAAACAGTTTTGAAGAGGAAAGTAAGTTCATCTTCTTTCTATAAAGGTTATGCCGTAACTCATAACTATCAGTGTTTGAGTTTAGCCATACCTAAAATGTCAGATGTAGTTTCTTTTCTGATATAGGAAAGGAAGTAAGTTAGAGAACCAGTTTGAGAATCAGTTAGAGAGCCAGTGTGTTGGTGTGGTTAAGTCATCAGGCTACAGGAGACCATGAGTTCTAGTTCCGCCTTAGGCACCAAACCAGCTGGGTGACTTTGGGTCAGTCATTCTCTCAACCCTGGAAGGAGGCAATGGCAAACCAGTTGTGATATCTTGCCAAGAGAACTGCAGGGATCTGTCTAGCAATCACCAGGAGTCAACACTGACTCAAAGGCACAAAAAGCAAAAAAGGGGGGGGTATTGGTCCAGTTAGCATTCTATTTGCATTGAATTCAGATTTAATTTTGAGTGGTCATTTTAAAAGATACATTAGATAAGATTAAAAGACAATTTATTTTTTAAATCTGTCCTATGTGGGACAACAAGGAGACCCTCCTTTTATGATCTAATAGGTCAGGCCAAATCCAATTAGAGAATACAGTCCCACAGATACCCAGGCGTCAAGCCATGAAGTCATAAGTTAGCACCAGCACTTTAAATTGTACTTGGAGCTGAACCAGTAATCAGTGTAAGGCCTGCAATGTAGATGTAATATGGGCACAACGTCAAGAGCCAGTTAAAATGCTGGGCGCTGCATTCTGGATCAATTGTAATTTCAGAGTAGTCTTTAAATGCATCCCTGTATAAAGTATTTTATAGTATTACAGTAATCTATGCAGGTGGTAGTAAGAGCACAAGTTGCTGTCATCAGGTCTGTGCAGATAAGGATACAGTTGGTGCTCCAGCCAGAGTTGGACAAAGACCCCTCTAGCCACAGCTTCGACCTGCTGCTAAAGTAGGAGTCATGAGTCCAGACAGACCCTCAAATCATAAACCTGTCCTGAGCAGGTAGTGCCTCTCTGTCCAGAATTACAGTGGTGCTGGAAGAGGCCCCCAGTGTACAATCCCTGTCTTGCTTGGGCACAGTTTGAGCCATCTATACCTTGACAGCCTCCAGGCATCAACATAGGATATCAACGGCATTCCCCCTACAACCCAGAATAGCAATGTATAGTTGTGTATCATCAACATAACCCAATGTCTTATGTTCTCACAGATCCATGTGTTCAATCCTCTGTTCTGTGCAACAGCCAGGAGGGACAGAGGTCCAGTCTACTTAAAGCAGAAGGTAGTACCTTATCAACTTTCTCTGAGTTCACAGGCCAAAAAGAATCCCAGATGAGAATACAAGACAATGCTTTAGTCAGACACTGCCCAGCTGGAGTCAAGACTATGGCAACTCCAAGTGACTATCAGCAAAGGGCTGTGCAAATTGGCCACAGTAGCCATGCGGGAGATCTCTCTGATGATTCCTCCACAGACAGGGCTGCTGGATAGTAGTCTGCCAATGCAATAATAGTAATAATGGTACCAGTCAACCAGTGCAGTAATGGAGGAGAAGGTGAGCTTAGCTGAGTTTGGTTTTTGTCTTTCTGTCAGTGCTCCAGGCATAGTTTCTGGTACTTCTTTTCCCAAGGCTTCAGTAAACCAAGGCACTGACCAGAATCAGCACCCAGAAATAGGTTGCTTGGGGGCAATAAGAATTATTTAAAACTTCTTTGCAACCTCTGCTGGTTTTACTAACCTCTACTTTATACACAATCATTTATTTTTAAATATTATTTTAAGATTCTTTAAATACCCAAGAAATCAGCGAAGACTGGTTTGATGCTACAGAGAACCCAACAACAATTGAGTCATCAGTTTTGTGTACAGACCCTCTAAAGAGGTCTGCAACAGGTCAGTATTGATTTTGCATTGGTTTGGAATAATGCAGACAGTGCTGTGAGTTTTGATTGCCTTTTTCTTGGAAGCATGGGAAAGCTCTTTTTTGTGGTCTTTTGTGCAGCCCTATGCATAGATCTGTCACTGCAGAAGTTCTTTCTAGAGGCTTTACTAAAATTAATGCTCATCCCTTCCCTCAAGGAAAAAAGTGTATTAATTTGCATACTGAGAAAAATGTGTTCTCCCACCAAGAGGAAGTAAAAAGTAAAATAAAAGTAAATAAAAAATAATGTATTCATTTCTTTCTCCTTTTTTCATTTGCTAGCTGATTGCACCATTCTCAATTTATATTTCTTTAGGTTTCTAATTTGTATATGTAAACCACTTTTTCATATAAATGTGCCCAAACAGCTCTCAAAACAAGAATAACAAAATGTATAAAAGCCAAATTACAGTGTTAGTATCTGTTTACTTCAAACCATAATATAACATTCCAAAAAGTATAGTAGCAGAGAGTATGAGTTACTAATACACACTGACAATTAGTAATTAATTTGTAAAGTAAATACATCAGAATGAGTTAAAACTTTTCTCAAAGGTCTTTAGCAAGAGTTATACTTTTCATCTGTGCCAGAGATAGAAATGATGTGGGGATATGACTCCTTGATACAGGAATATTTTATTATCCATATTGTTTATCCTTGATTATTTTTGTAATGTAAGGTAGGAATGTAAGCCACTCATAATCAGTTGAGATTGATATTACAGAATGAATTACATATGGGGGAATAGTAATTAGCTATGAGAGAGAGGAGTTTCCTTGAGAGGAGGAGGAGTCAAATCTTTATTATGTTCACAGACTAGCAGGAGGAGTCATCCTAACAGATAATATGTCACATTCAGTCACTGGGTACAAAAATTCAGGAGTTTGGTTTCACCTTTTCCAACAAACAAATTTTATTAAAAGACATAAGCTTTTGTGAACTTGCAAAAATTGGTAAAACATTCTCCTGGTTCATTTCTTTTTCCTAGGCCACATAGCTAAACTACATTTTCCTCCTTAGTATTTCCAACTTTGGCATTCCAGTCTCCAAACACAAGCATGTTCTGTCAATTTCAAATTGAATTTGATTGTAAAACTCATCAGCCTCCTCTTCTGTATCAGCGGTTGGAGCATAAACTTGGAAAATCTGATGATTTTCTAATTGATATCAGTAATTGACTGCATTTTAGCCACTTGGTGTTCTTGCTATACCCTTCCTGTTTTTTTTTCATGTCCTGAGTAGTAAACAGTGTGATCTTCTGACTGAATGTGTCTAGTCCATTTCAGTTTCCTAATGCCTAACATGTCAATGTGTAGTCAATTCATTTCATCTTGCACTTTGTTGAGCTTTCCCATGTTCATGCTTCTTAGTTCCATGTTCCCACTGTAATTCTGTCTTGGCAGCTTTGGATTTTCATTAACTGCATGGCAGCTAGACATCCCAAAGGCTATAATCTAGCCATGTCATAACATCATTAGTACTCCAGAAGATCCCCAGCTCTTCCTCAGTTAGCATGTTGAGTGCCATGTGATCCGAAAGGCCCATCATCCAGCACTATATTGTCAGTCATTTTATATTATCTATCCATGTGGTTTTCTTGGTAAAATACACTAGTTGTTTACCATTGCCTTCTCCCATGAAGTGTCAAATTATGCCTTTGCTGTTGTCACTAAAGTGATCATCTGCCTCCAGCATCTGCTTATATCACTGGTGCCCGATATGGGTGCCTGCTTTCTTTAGTTGGGCAGCTGGGATGACCTTCATGCTTTGGGCAACCCTGATGGAGTTATATGCCCTTAGCATACACTCCCTGTGTTCTTTGCTTATCTCTCCCAGGAACACTCCCCCTGCTACAATGAGGCAATACAGCAGGACTTGGGAGGGTGTAAGGTTACCTGGCATAGGGTTTTTTATTGTTTCTTAAGTTGTCTCATCCCGTGTTACAAAGTTCCACTTCTTAAAGTGTCTTTTATTTTTGATTCTCATGGTTTCCTTTACATGACTCATGTAATACTACTATATTAGAAATGCTCATAATACTGAAAGAGAATAAGATACAGGCTGTCAGTGATGAACACTATAATTTCTTTGAAGAGCTAAATGAAATCTTAGATGCAAACAGTGTCCCTCTAGTTTCATGTCATCATCTTTGCCAGTTAGTCATTCTCATTTGTTGTTTGTTCTCTAATTGTTTGGCTATATGGTTATTGCTATAGGTATTTGCAGGTATTTGCAAAAATTGGTTCCTTAAGCATTGCAAAATTATGTCCCTTAAATTACCCCAAAGCCCCCCAAAATATAAAAAAGATCTCTTTGGCCCTACTTAATTTGGTGATTTAATCTTTCAGTTGCTCTTCAGTTTATTTTTTAAAGGTAGCACTGTTCTATGTTTATCAACAGAGGGAGCTAGAATACTGGGAAAAAATAGTATTTAATGTTTCTTTTGATAGAAAAAAGCTGCAGCTCCCCCCCCCCAAAAAATACTATAGAATGTTAAAATAGTAAAACAAGGTAAAATAAAAACTGGGCCTACGTGGTCCAGGGACGTAGCCCTTGAATCAGTAAGAGTTGTCAGGAAATACTTTACTCTGCATTGATGCATTCTTTATGTGATATTTCTTTTCATTTAAGAGTAAATAAATATCTGAATTGCATGCTTTGTATATTTTTAGAAACACAGACAATAGAAGAGAAGAAAAAAGAGTTCAAAAACAATTACTGTGTCCATGTTGGTGGTCTGAGTCCTTCAGTATCAGAAGTAAGTTGAGATTAGAATATAATGTTTCTTTCACTTGCTACTCTGAAAGTACATTGATCTTTCTTGCTCATTTCAGGTTGACCTTTGGCTGCATTTTCAGAAGTATAATGTTTCTGAGGTTTCTGTTTGTGAGTATTTCAAAAATTACAGGTATGTGTGCTATACTGTCAGTTTTGTGGCTCCTGCTGTTGAGGTGTCTGATTTAATAACCAAACATCTAGGGAAATATGAATTCACAGCTTTTAGAAGAGAGGCATAACTTACTGAAATAAACTTCTGTCACAATCCTTTCTGCTAGTACTCTGGTCTGTTGGAACCTTATGGCAATAAGTATATCTATTACTCACTATGGTAGGTATGTGCATGTTTTCCATGTCAATAGAGACAGGTGTGAACTTAGTCTAATTAACTGACAGTGCTGAATATACAGCTGTACTTAAAACACATGTATATGTGCACGACTTCAGAAAAGAGAATGCTAATTTGATATAAACATAGGAGATGTGTGTAATTTTTCTGCTTTTGATTATTGCTTGCTGTCTTGGTAGACACAAGTAGAGAAACAGTATTTAATAAGACAGTAAAAGAGGCAGGAAGACCTGAACCCTATCTTCCTCTGCTTTCTGCACTGTTAATGACAAGACTGTTCCCCCTCAATGTAATGGTATGTAAGAGTAACCTTGAGGAACAGGAGGAAAAGCCACAACCAGGACAACCGTCAGATAAAAGAAATTTGAGTCCGAGGCAGAAATGTAATTTGAGAAAGTGTCTCAGATTTGATCCTCCCTAGTTCTTTTGAAAGTAAAGGGCAGGAGGGTGGAGATGCATTCAGACTTGCAAGATTCTGTTACTGTAATGTAAAAAGTAATATTAGCATTCATAACTTTGGTTTCCTAGTCTGGTCTACCTCAAAGACCTACCTGCATCCGCCCACCCACCACCCATTAGGATAAGAGTTAGGGAATTCCTTTCATTGTGAATAGGAAGGGAGAGAGCTAGCCTGTTAAAAACTCAGGTTTCATGCCTTGCTTTCTTTAATGCTGTTCCCAAATTATCATCATCACCAGGATACCCACTATGAAGCCAGAAGACCAGCCTATTTTTTTCTCCATTGGTCTTAAATAATTTGCTACAGCTAGGAACATTGTACTTCTATCCCAATATCTTCCATGTATTGCTATCTTTAATATTGGAAATCCAACTGCATTTTAACCCAGCCCCTACCAAAACCTCAGAAGAGCAACATTTTAAATTGTGCCTGTAATATTTTTCTCAATAAGATCCATAAAGAATAAAATGTATAAAGCTGAAAATCAAAGTTAAACCATCATCATATGAAAATTGTAAGTTGGATAAATACATCTGGAAGTTTATTGTTTCCATAAAAATGTTCTTAATAACTTACAATCTGTTTAAAATACCCTAAAGGTATTAATATAAGAATCTTGTCTAGTATACCCATCAAACTTGAATTTTATAGGGAACAATAAATACTGTTCTCTTTCCCAGTTGTCCACATAGAACATCTTTTAGCTAGTTGCAAAATCTGAATTCATTATGTCTTACATCTTTTCATTCTACTATAATTTCTGCACTCTGTGTATATTTCTGAATTTCTCTAGAGATTCACATAGGGCATTACTTGGATTTGAGTTTTCCTGCTGAAATATGAAAGCAGGCTATAGTTGATTTTTAAGAAAAAATAGCTACACAGTCCTCCCAGACTAGACCAATGAAGCAGAAATCATCCTAAACATCTTGAGGGTCTGGAAAGGATAACTCCATGCCCATCCTGTTTAATTTATATTAAAGTACACCATGAAACAATGACTGCCAGCTTTTGCCTTTATGCTAAGTACTATACAGAAAGCATTCTACATGGGGCTGCCCTTGAAGGGTATCTGGAAGCTTCAGCTGGTGCAAAATGCAGCGGCACAGACAGTTATGTGTGCCCCTAGAGCAGTACATGTTACACCTCTGCTCCACAAGCTGCATTGGTTGCCAGTTTGTTTCTGGGTCCAATTCAAGGTGCTGGTTTTGACCTTTAAAGCCCTTCATGGCATGGGGCTGGGTTATCTGAGGGATCACCCATCCCATCACGTCTGGAAGAGAAGGCATGCTGCGGGTCCCGTCTGTCAGGGAATTACATTTGGCAGGTTCCAGGAGGTGGGCCTTCTCTGCCATGGCACCTGCCTTGTGGAATCTTCTCCCCCCCAGAAGTGAGATTAGCTCCCATCTCTCTCAACGTTCAAGTCCCTCAAGATCAGGCCTGGGGGTCCCAGGGGACTGGGGAGATCTTGCGATGCTCCCTTTTTAATATTATCCCCTCCTGTCTTGTGTGCTTTTATAGTTATTTTTACCTGTATTTGTTTATGTATGTATTCTTTTTAATTGTTGTATACCGCCCAGAGTCACTTTTATGTGAGATGGGCAGCTATATAAATACAATAAATAAATAAATCAGTTGAAATAATTTGCAGATTACTGTATATAAGCCATCATTGTTTCTGTAGGTGCCAGTTCATGCATGATACTGCCACTTGTATGCAAGGTCTCCCTATAAGTGCAATAAAATATGATTGCATTTATAACTGCTGTGAAGAATATCAGAAGCTACTGCTTTCCATCTTTTTTCTTTCCTTTTTATTTTTCTTTAACTTTTTTCCCTTTCTTGCACTTTTTGCTTTTTCTTTGATTTCTTTTTCTCTCTTCTTTGCTTTATATTAGTTTGCATTAGTTTTTTTTAAGTTTTAATAAAAATTATATATATAAAAGATAGATCTCATTGTTTGATAACTGTGTAAGATTTTGGCCACAGAGCACAGAAAATAGAGTAACAATATATCAAGGAGGGTATGAACAAGAGGAATAGAAATTTCATCCCCACATACGTAGTACTGGCAGAAACTGGTCCCAAGTACTAGGGTGAGGGAATGGCCTCCATGAGGCTCTGAGAATAAGGAAGTTTCCTTATTTAAATTTTAGTTCTCTAGCGACAAATGGAGGTTAAAGTTGGGGCACACCAGAATCATAATTTTAGAATGAGCTTTAGGAACAGTGTGCCCAGAGTTATCTGCAGAAACTTCCTACCAGAGTTGCATCAGCTGATGATGCAATACCAATTTTATAATGCTCAGTGAATGTAAGAGCAGATAACCAAGCTGTCTTATAGATACTCAGAATTGATTCGATAAACTTGGAAGGCAGCAAAGGCTGCCATATCAGTGAGGGAACTGACAGTGATTCTTACTAATTGGTACCTGTGGGTAATTTGCTATCAAGGTGGGTATTATTGGTCACACAGCCAGATGTTTAGACTGGATTAGACATTTTTATCCTTCCTAAGGACCTGGGATAGGCAGATGTTGTTTGATGGTGTTAAAGGTATCGTCGCAGGATGTAAGCTGTTTCAAGTAAAACTGCCTTTTGCAATTGACTGATGGTAATTTTGTCAATGCCGATGCTATTCAAGTGGTGCTGAAGTTATTTTGGGATTGCACCCAAGGCACCTATAACTATCAATACTGTCTTTGCTTTTTTTTTGTCACAGTTGTTCTGCTTCTGTTTGCAGGTCTTTGTATTTTGTGATTTTCTCCAGTTCTTTCTCTTCTATTCTCCTGTCTCCAGGTATTGCACTATCCAGACTTTTTTGTCTTTCTTATCAACAATTGTTAAGTCTGGGGCTTTATGTGGCAGGTGCTTGTCTGTTTGAATTCTAAAGTCCCAGAGCACTTTAGCTTCTTCATTTTCTATTACTTTGTCTGTTTTGTGGTCCCACCAGTTTTTGCTTGCTGACAAGTCTGTATTTCTTGCAGATATTCCAGTGTACCATTGTTGCTACTTTGTCACGCCATTGTCTGTAGTCAGTGTGTGATCTTTTTGCAGCAGCTAACTAGGTGGTCCCCTGTTTCTTCAGTTTCTTTGCAGAGGCAGCATTTGCTGTCGGTTGCTGTCTTCTCAATTCTGGCTTTATATGCATTTGTTCTTAAGGCTTGGTCTTGTGCAGCCCAGAATTAGCCCCTCTGTCCCTTTCTTCAACTTTCTTGCTCTTAGCCATTGCCAGGTTGTCTTGTTATCTGCTTTGCCTGATAGTTGTGTGTGTACTGGCCATGTAACACTTCGCCTTGCCATGTCTCTTTTCTGTTCTTCATTTGGTCTTTCTTATAGGCCAATTTGGTTTCTTTGGTATTCAGTAAGCCTTATGGTGTACTAGCTTCAGTGCATCTTCTTCACTGTCCTTCAGATATTCTTCCAATGCCCTTTTGTCTTCTTCAACTGTCTGGTGTACTTGCAACATTCCACGCCCACCTATGCTCCTTGGCAAATAGTGTCTGTCAATGTCACTGCATGGATGAAGGGCATGATTCATTGTCATTATTTTTCTGGTCTTCCTATCCAGGACTTTTAGTTCTGCTTGAGTCCAGTCCACTATTCCA